GGGAGGGGGCTGAGCCCGTGGGGAGGGGGCTGAGCCCGTAGGGAGGGGGCTGCAGCCCGAGGAACCCGAGGATGGGGTTGGTCCGGGCTGGATGGGACATTCCAGGGGGTCCCGGTGCGGAGCAGGCAGCACGGGAGGGATGGAAGGGAGGAACCGGGGGGTTTGCCGCGGGACGAAGGCTCCAACCGCACGGTGACATCCCGATCCCACGGCTGGCAGCGGGATGAGGAGAGCGCCTGCCACCCGCATTCCTCCGCTCCCGAAGGAACCGGCTGGGGACCTTTCCATGGGGATTTCCAGCCTGGCCACACACCACTCCAGCGCGGATCGTGTCGGGGGGGCGATCCTGGCTCCGCTGAGCGCCCGGGAGACTCGTCCATCAGCATCCCAGCCCCGTGAATCACCGCCGGGAAGGAATAGATTAGGATCTCGCAACACTTTCCTGCTGGAAATAACTTTCTCCACAGACGCGGTGCCAGATCCAGGCTCGGCTTTGGATGCAGCCGGGGGGGATCGGGTATGCTGCAGGTTTTATCCCTGATTTGGGGCTCACTGGTGGGCAAAGGCCTCCCAAAATGAGATGCTGGTTTGGGATGTGCTCCTGCTCCCATGGGGGAAGAGATGGAATCACGGAAGCAGCAGGACTGAGGTGCAGGGATGCTCTAAACTCAGACACGGTGGAGATGTGGCTGCACAGGGGTGGTGTTGGTGTCTGCCCCAGGTCCCTCGGAGCCAGGAACATCCTGTATCCCTGCTCCTACACCCCTGTATCCCCTCTCCTCCATCTCTGCATCCCCCTGTGCCGGGTGCCAGCAGACTTGGGGACACTCAGGATGCCCAGGACCCCCAGAGCCTCACCCCACACTGGTGTGGTGTCACTGAGTGGTGACACTGCCACTGGTCCCAGTTTGCAACTGGAAGAGGGAACAACCAGCCCGACTTTTTCCTCCCCCGTTTTTTCCAGCCTTGTTGAGGGCACGGGTGTTGTTGCCACCGCTGTCACCTCCCAATGGCTCCATTTCTGCCCCATGACTCAGGGATTTCAGCAGGTTTGGGAGGGAAGGAGGGGCAAAAAACCACTTCCCTGCCAAAAAAAAGGAGGCGGCTGCTGGTCTCGCCCTTCGTCACGCAGGAGGTGGATTAATATTAACCCGTCCCTCTGTCCTGCGTCCCTCCGCCCCGCTGTCCCTCCGTCCCACTGCCCCACTGCTCGTCCCATGACTGGGATGTGACACTTTTCCGGCCACTTTGAGGGGGAGGGGGTGAGTGAGCTGGGGAGAGGCAGCAGAGTGGCCTCAGCTGGTGTGAAAGGGCCCCACGTGCTGGCACGGGGTCCCCATGAGTCACCCCCGGTGCTGCGTCACCCACCGTGTCCCCGGTGCCCACCCCAGTGTCCTCCCACCCCGGGGCTGCTGAGGCTCCCAGGGCAGCTCCTGGTGAAGAATGAAGACCAACCTCTTGGTGTTTTGGGGAGAAAGGGGTTATTTTGTGAAGTCAGCTGGTTTCTAACCCCCATCCTCCCCCCCCCCCCCCCGATATTTATCTGTGGCTGTTGCTCAGGGACACTCGTGGCTGATCAGACCTGGGTGATAACACACGTGTGACACAACATGTGGCCCCCATGTGCCCATGCACGTCTGATGCCATCCTGGGGCTGTCACTGCTGTCCTCGACTTCAGACAGATCCCAGCTCTTCCCCAGTTGCTCATTGCTCCTCTGCCAGGTCCCTGATCCCAGTGCTCCACTTGCTCGGGATCCTCTGAGCTCTGAGGAAACCCCTCAGCAGCAGCTCCTGCAGCCCCAGCAGCGTTTCCAGCACGGGGAGCGGATCCTGCTGGTTCAGAGCTCGGATGTGGTGGCTGTCACCCACAAGTGGTCCCGCTGTCACCTCCCCTGTCACAGCCAGACCCCGCTGTGTTTGTGGAGAGCTTGGCTTTCTGTTTCGCTGGGAGGGTGAGGAGCCCTTGGCACGGCACTGGATCACCTCGTGCTCACTGATTGCTTCCAGTGCCTGCAAAACAAACAGGAAGCCAAGGGGAAAATCCCCGGGTTGGGAATGGGGCTGCTGCTGCACCGCCCTGGATCTGGCCCCACTGGGATCTGTGTGTGCTTCCCTGTAAATGGATCCATCCCACAGGGATC